CTCAAAAGTTTTGTAAGGTTTTTAGTCATATGAAATTAAAACAAAAGTGATCTTATGTTTTAATAGGATTTTGGACTTGCCTATAGCATTCTATAGAAAGCTACATCCTTGTAGCCCATTCTGTGAGGAAGTCGTATAAACCCCGGGGAAAGCTCATTCTCATTAATGTCATCAGAACAGCTTTTGAAGCAATAAGGTTCTAGTATCTTTATTTTCAAAGTGGAGTTGGATAAATTATCTTCCAGCTACTGAAAAACAAAATGGAACCTGACTTAAATATCTAATGAGTGTAGAAATAGATAATGTTTATAACAGTCTCAGTTACCTATTAGTTAATAATTTTAATAAGTTCTTTCTCACTTGTTCCACATCATTTTAGATGTGTGCAGTAACAAAAGAATAATGACAATAAGGGACTTCAGTCCAGAATTGGGTCCTGCAAAACCCAGCCCTGGGAAGCTCTGGTGTGACTCTGATGACTCTGCAGTGCCCCCAGTCCCAGTGAAGTCAACAGGAAAATGGGAAAACGTGCTCCCACAACCCACCTCCTGCCCACTCATGACTGGGCACAAGGTACCCCAGTTTTGCCCAGCCCGTTTCTGAAAGATGCAGAAAACTTCAACATGAGATGCTGAGGTGCAAACATTTGGACTCAGCCTTAAATGTCATAGAAAAGGAAAGTCCCAAATGCACTGCTTGGCTTGTGTTTGCTAATAGAGAGACCACCAGAATGGTCAGAGAAATAATGTAGCCACCAATAACTCCTTCTGTCCTTTGTAAGCTGCACATACCAGAGCAAGGGTCACGTTATCTTGTTCTAATGAATTACACCTTAATTACACCTCATGAGAAGCGTGTCCTTTCCGTGTCTGAACAGCACCAGTGGGAGGGCAGAGCCGTTTGCCTCAGCAAACCAAGCCTCCTCCTGGGATGGCTGGTGCTGGATTGTCCTGTGCATGTTGTGTAACGTTGCTGGTGGCCCCTCTCCAGCCTGGACCTGCCCATTGTTGTGGTGGCAGTAGCCAGCTCAAGGACATCTGTAATGGCTCTAATGGTACTAGGTGGGATGGAGAGTAATGATATGGAAAGAGCCGCCTTCTGCCATCTTACCATAAGCAGAGTAAAGCAAACTTGAGTTTTTCAGTGAGCATTTTCACCACAGGTTGCCAAGAATTTTCCAAGTATTGAAACATCACAAGCTTTTGTGAAGAAAAAGGGACAGGAAAAATGCCCACAGGGAGATGGAAGGCCAAGCCCTGACTGATGCCCGTGGGAAGGCCTGAACTTGCCTAGAGTTTTGCTCTGGGTCAGTGATGGTGAGGGGACAGACCAGAGACCACTGAATCTTGTCACCCAGCAGCTGGATCACACCTCCTCTTGGTTACTATGACACATGCAAAAGCTGAATTACAGCCTCTGAAAGAGATGTGACAATCCCCTTGTTAAGATTAACATATGGGTAGCAAGAGTGACAGTAAATGTACTGCAGAAATTTGCTTATTTTCTTTGCTATATGGGACATGTGAATTTCTGAAACAATAGGGCAACAGGAATAAAACAAAAAAAGCAACAGAATCTTTACAGATAAGTCCGAATACAAAGAAATTATCAGAATTGAAAACAATATACTTTGAAGCAGTATACTGTCAGGGGCAGGCATATATTTCAAGGCCTGTGAACGTCAACACTGTTCAGAACTGATGGTAACCAATGCAAAATTCCTCTGATTTATCACTGCTTTTAGGACAATCGTGACTATTCTCTCTCCTCTGGTGGTTTGGTTACAGAGTCTAGAAAAACCTTATCTAGAAAGCGTTGATCACAGCCGCCTCCTGTGCTTTGGGTGAGGGTACAAACCCGGCCTTGCTGGCTGTGGTGCAGCGCTGGGGCTCACCACCCCTTCACGGCTCTTCCCTCCGGGGAAGCACCCGGGATGTGAGCTGAAATTGAAGCTGGGGTATGTGGTACAAGAGCCAGCCTTGTTATCAAAAAGCGCTCGAAAAAGGGAAGCTCTGTAAGGCTTCATAGGGTACGTGCACCCAGCGGGGCGGGTGTGGGGACCGGGCAGGGTGCTGCTGCCCCGGGGCTCGCTTCCACCCAAGCAATTGGGAGGGATGGATGAAGGACTGGCTGCCCCGAGCCCCGGCGGAGGAGCAGCTGGCGAGGAGGCGACCAGGTCTGCCATCATCGCCTTTGTTTGGTGTTACTGGCATCCTCTGGTCCAGAGCTCCCAGTAGCCCCAAGGGCCACTGTCGCTGGAAGTCAAAAGGCTCTGTAAAAGCTTTTAATGAGGGAAGATGATGCTTGAAGTTAAAGGAGACCTTTCAAGTAAGCACGTGTTTTTAATGTGTGATTAAGAATAATACATAGTGTTGGAGTCCATTAAGACGGAGTTAGGCTGTCTGAATTTTGAGTCAAGCTGTAAATGCTTTAAAAAAGAAAAAAAAAAAGGCACTCTTTTCCATAAAGTGTGTACTAATATTAACAAAATATTGATATTCCTTCTTTTTCTTCCTTTCCTTAGCAGCCTTATCTATCTAAGGACAGCTAGAATTTTCTCTACGAGTAATAAGGAAAAAAATTAGAAAGCTTATTAGGGAAACCTGCCATTTTTAAAACGAGACACTAAATTCTTGCCAGAGCGTGGAAATTCAGAAGCTGGGAAATGAGACCTGTAGACTTCCAAGAAGCTGTCTCTGTCCAGCTAAAGCCTGTTCCTATGGTGCGAGTGAATAAAGCACATTTTGGCCCACTAATGTTCAGATCTCTAGGGACTCAAATTTCTTAGTCAAGGCTTTTTATTGGATAAGAACATTTATTTTAAGGCCAGAAAACTAAGCTCAGATATGATCTATTAAGATAATGGTACTAAATAATAACCATATCAGAAGGATTTTTAATTTTCTTGAGGAAATACCTTGTATTGCATCTAAAAAGAATAAAAAACAAACAATACTTGTGCAACTGCTTGCCTATAAAAAGGCAGTTTTAAGTACTGGGCTGAATTTTGAAAATTTTATAACAATATGATTAATGAATTTGTTGCTTTTCCGGTTAATATTTGGAAAACTATCAGAACTGTGAATTAATTACTGCTGGAGTGTTGCAAGGGTTGTGAATTTTATTTCACTGAAGCCTGATAACAGGCTTTTTGGGGGGAGGGGGAGATTGCTTTTTGAGATGTTGCATTTCCCAGTATGATTTGGGAATTAGTCATGATTCCATGAAAACAGCTTTTGTTTTGCTGTTTCAGAAGGAGAACAAATAATTTCTCCCCTGCACATGCCTCATGGAGAATTTCAAAAGGACTGCAGTATTCAGAAATAGTCCTTTTAATTTTATAATATCAATATAGAGTCCCTTCTAGCAACAGAAAACACAGTAGCCCATGGAAAATGGCACATTTATCAATGAGACATCCCCAGTGGGGTTCCAATAACTGAGAACAACCCCTCCTCCTGCTATCATTCATTTTTATATGGAGAAGGGGGAAGCTAGTCATCAGGATCATTGTGATTCCATGCACAAATTGTAGCTTTATTCTTTAACCCAAAATAAAGAGAGAAGGGGGAACCCTTAATATTGGAAAAGCTGCGTTTCTCTTTACCTAATTAAACAGCTATTCCTGAGCTGATTTTTGCTATACTGTATCCTTAGCATGGTATGGAAGAAAGGTAGCATCTGAAGAAGTTTTAAAGAATCGAGAACGTGCCTTTTCTACTCTGAATAATTCAGGGATGCTTTTTCTTCTCTCTTTCTTTCTCTCCTTCACCCTTTAGGGAAAAACTTGGGGCCACAAAAGATTCAAATCAAGAAATCAGACCCTTGGTCACTTGAAGAAAGAGTGAAGCCTTTTCCCCCTGTGATGAATGCTGATATTGACTTGCATTGCCATTTCCAAGCTCTGCATTTCTAGTCCTGCTTTCCTCTAAGACCTTTGTGCCTTTTATATGCCCCTTTCTGTTTTTTCCATTCCCCCTCTGATAATGAATTTTCAGAACATGTCGTCTCTAGGCTTGTCTTTCTCCTGTGACGCCAGGACTGGTACCACAAAATAAAATCCTGGCTTAGCTTTGCTACGCAGTTGGTAGAGAAGAGCAGCCAAGACAGGTTTTTCCTCCATATATAACACATTTCATATACCTTTATGAAATGATTCTAGGTACACATTTTTATTACCTATCTAGCCTTTAAAATACATAAATCCAAACAGATTTAAAACTGAAACAACCGAGTGCACAGCAAGACAGGGAATAGAACAATGATGGAATAAGGTACTGAGATTAAAAAAAAAAGACAGTAGTATGAAATAAAATGCTAAAGAGCAAAGGTCATTCAGGAAAGATCTGACACACCAGTAGCTGATGTCTGAAGTGTCCTATTATGGAGACAGCTCAGAACTACTTGACACTAACAAGACATAAGGCTTTGGAAAAGAGAGGAAATGCGTGTAATCAGTTTGCATATCCCAGAGCAAGAAATATTCAATTCTTATTTGTCAGCCCAGGTGACCATATATTTATGCTCCTTTTTTGGGGAAGGAAGAAGGCATGAAGGAGAGGACATCCCATCAACAGAAAGAACAGCTTTATTCTGTTATAAAAGCCCTGTAAATAAACCTGACGCAAGTATGGTGTAAACCTGCCTGCCATATACGTACAGCAGATGCAGATGTTGATGAAAGAACACAGAAAAGAGGTATAAATAAGAGACACAGACACAAATTCTGCAAGAAACAGGATATTCCTTCAGAAGGCAAAGTCTCCTTTGGGTTATGAAGCACCAGGCAGTTATCCACTATAGATAATTATAGACGACTGCTGTTAGAAAAGTCATAGTCAGGAATATGTCTATGATCAATGATCTTTAAGGGACTAGACAAATACATCCAGAAAGAGCGCAAGATCTTCCCTCGGGAAGCAGGCTTTATTTTTTTTTTTTTTCCTTTTCCTACTTAAAAACATGTAACGTTTGCTCGCAAACGCAGATCTCGCACTTACTTTAAATAATTCAGCTACGACCATCTCTCCACAGGCGAGTTAATCCTAAATCCGCGGGGCCGGGGCCGGGCAGATCCCGGCGGGAGCTGCGGGCAGAGACCTGGAGCGCGGCGCTGTCAGCTGCGCCCGCCGCTGCCTGGGAAAATGGCTATTTTATGAATGGGAGGGCAGCGCCCCCACCTGCGCATGCGCGGCCTCCCGACTCTATGAATGGGTGGGCACCGGGGCGCCACCGCGCATGCTCGGCTGCCTTTATGAATGGGGGGCTAGAGCGGAACGTGGTGCGAGTTGCGGAGGACGGATACGGCTCGCGCTTTTTTTTTTTTCCCCTTTTTTTTTTTTATGAATGGAGGGCAGGCGCCAGCTGCGCATGCACTGCGCCCCCCCTAACCCTCCCAGTCTGGGGCTGGAGGTAACTGCGGCCGTCACCGCGGGGGGAACAGAACCGGGCCCCCGCCCCCCGGACCCCCCCATCTTCTCCGGGCTCGCCCTGCCCCTACACCTCCAAGCGCGGCTGTTAGCGGGGGGGGCAGCCGTGAGGATGCCCCCAGCCCCCGGGCAGAACTGGTGTGTGTCCGTCCCGCCCCCTTCCGCAGCACCCTCCCGGCCCCGGGCGGCCGCAGCGCGCTGGGGGGTGGGGGGGGGGAGGGGGGCACATACGGGGAGTGTTGGGCTGCCGTGTGCGGGTACGGCTGCGAGGGGGCCGGGGGGGCAATGGAGTACGCGCGGCCGGAGGTTTTGGGGAGCCCCATTTTTGGGGTGCGCGGCCGCGCACGCAGCGGGAGGAGAGGAATGATTTTTCCGGTCGCGTTCGGCTTCGTCTCCCCGCGCCCCCGCCGCGTCCCCCCACTCGCGTTGCAGCTTCTGCCTCTGGCTGCCGGGGTCCGACTGGAAACGGGAGCAGAAGCCGTCGTTGTATCCCCGTGTCGTCAGTGCAACACGTAAATCTGTTTTATGGCTCTTGTCCCGTGGGGGGGTGGGCTGGAGCCGCGCAGGTTATGCGGAGCCCGCAGGAGTAGGAAGATGCAGCTGATGCGCTGTGCTCAGCTTGGCAGGATTTTTTCCATGTTTAGCTTTTTGTAAATCCTGTTGGGCCTCATCCCGAGTGCTCTGCAGGCAGCGTGAGGCAGGCCCTCAGGGCCGGATTTTCCAAGGATCTTTAGCAAACAGTTGCCATTCTGCAGCTGGGTGTCGGGCTCCCCCAAAGCCGTCCCTGACTGGGTGCTGAGGGTTCCCAAATCTCCTGACGTGCCTCTGTCCCTGTTCAGCAAACAGAGCATCTCAGTTCTCAGCCGGTGCAGAAGCAACTGCAGGCCAGGTCTCTGTGTCCCAGTCCTCCAGCATCCTCAGGGACAGGTTGCTTTACGCTGAAAATTCATGAAAAATAACGATGTATTTTTAGTATGTGTGAAGAGTCATCTTCAGAGAACCAAGCCCCTTCCCAGCTCCTGCCTGTTTATGGCACATATCTTTAAAGCTTGCACAGCACTGAGAAAACGTCTGTTATTTATTTAGTGCTAATAGAAAGGTTATGTGTTATTGCAGATACACCCCACAGAAAAGATTCCTCTCTCCGAGAGTGCTCAAGGGCTGATTGTTTAGTTACGTCCGTGTTTGTCTCTGAGGGTAGAGACCTTTGCAAGTGGGAGCAGTGTTCATGGGTCAGGGGCAAATGCAATTTAACAAGGAAAGGACAGGAGATTCTAAAGAACAGCTTATCCGAGTGGTACGTGAAATATTCTTAGACTTCAAATACACAAGACTGACGACTGCTTTTGAGAATAAATAGAACGTGGTTGTTAAAAATGTTACTTTGTTAGTGGTTGTGTTCTTTACAGTAAAATACTGCTTGAAGGACAGGCAAGCATAGAAATTCTATGTCTATGATTTTGAAAAGTGGCAAAGAAATGGATAATGGAAGAAAACACAGTTGTAAAAAAGCTTATATAGAAGAAAAAATTAAAAAATAACATCTCGTTGTAGTTAGTACTGGAAACCAGCTCAAAGCTGAGAAGCTCAAATGCCTGAGCAAAAAAATCTGCTCTGATCCCATCATTTTACAACACTAGTATAGGCATACGTTCTGAACCTTGCTTTGAGTTTTGCAAGTGTGCTGTAATGTTGCAGCAAAGTGAGAGTCCAGCACCTCCCAGGAAAAGGCTTTTACAGGCGACTGCTGCATTCAGTATTGCAGGGCCACACATACAGGACAGCCAGGGGAAGTCCTTTGCTGCAGGACAGTAACCATCTCCCCACGAGACCCCAGCTGCCTGTGCAGCAACTGCAAGCTGCTGTGTAGTAGCAAAGAAGGCTGACGCTGTAATTAGACAGGAGGTACAGGCAAGCCCAGCTAGGCAGTACACTCTTGACAAAAGCCCTAGCAATAAAACTGAAAAGAGGAAATAAAAAATATTTTTTGTGTGTATGGAGGGGTGAGGAAGAAAGGGGGTCTGGCCATATGGTTCTAGGGAGAGAAAACTTGATGTGAGGAAACTCAGAATATTGCTAGTATCACTGCAAATTGTATGAAACCTGTTTAAGCATAGAATTCTAAAATGGTAACTCTTTGAGTTAATTCACCTCTTTTTCCTTCTGCCTCTCTCCCTAATGTATATTTTAAATATATTTGACTAAATCTTCCCTATGGACAGAGGTGTTTCTGGCTAGAGCTTGTGTTTGCTACGCTTGGGTGTGTGGGGCCGCTTTGGACTGGAAGCATGCGTGGGTTCCTCCGAGCTGCTGGGCTGGGCTTTGGGTCAGGATTCAGCAGTTGAGTGGGAGGGGGGGTGTCACTGGAGCAAAACCCCAGCCCAGGGGTGGTGTGTTGGACCTCCTGCTCTTTTGATTTGCCTCTGCAAACTGGAGGGGCTGGAGACGTGCTGGGGTGGGATGTGTGCGGGAGGGCTGGCGTCTCCCCCCACCTCTGCCGCCTGCCTGCTGCTCTGCTCTGCTGCTCAAACCTCATTCTGCTGCAAAAAGAAGATTGTGCTACTGCCTATGGGGATGAGACTGTCCTTGTAGCGAGGGCTCTGTGGGGTTGAGAGAGTGCCAGGGAGGCGCACCACGTTATTATCGTGGGATTCTGGAAGCGGAGGTTTTAAGAGAGAAATACCACTTATCCTGAGATGTGTCATATGTTTATACGTCTTGGCAGTACCAGGGATAGAGAGCTCTACATTCCTTTCTTATGCAGGAAATTAATTGCTTATTCATTTCATGCACATTTAAACCCTGAAATGGCTGTAGATTTTTTGAATGTCATTTCTTCACTGGGATGAATCGTGGCACTGGCACAACTATGTTGCCTATAAAGTAAATACTTGATTTTTTTCTTGCATATCCTTGGAACAGCTGAAAAGTCACCTGTGCTTTGTGATAGAGGCTACATCCTTATCTTCTGTAGGGCTTTGTGTTACTTTGACTGTCAGGTTCAGGTCATATTATTTGTTTTACTGAAACTGTATAGAGCAGAAAATATTTGTCTAGCTAATATAATACTGCCTCTTCTTGGAAACTGCAGTATCTGCCTGTCTCTTTTCCTTCCCAGCAAGGACAGAAAATACTTACTGTTACCTAAAAGGTAAATGCTTTGGAGATTACATCTTTTATATGTTGTGCAATTAGTACAATAACTACAATCATATGCAAGTTTCAACCCAGAGTTAGTTGGTAGAGATTTGGATTTGGTTGTCCGGATGGAAGCCAAATTTGCAGAGGCACTGAGACAATTCAGCTCTGGGCAGTTGTAGCAAATACAGAGAACTGTTCGGGGTTGCCCCTTTAAATCCTGAGCAATAGAAGTGCCACTCTTGCAGTGTGCCACCATCCTTCTTTGGTGCTCCGCTCCCCAGAGCGGTAACGTTTCATGTCTTGTTAGAACTGTGCGAAGCATGAATTTAGCAGCAGACTACAGTAAGATGACATCTGAAATGTCCATTTTGTGCCCCACTCTGTTAACCACAGGTGATTCCATAATGTGCCTGCTATTAATTACTGTTTGTAAAGCTCCCAGAGTTGCGTACTTCCCAGCTACCACCCTGCTGACATAGTGGTGCACGATAAAGGCTCCTCTTCCCACAGCCCATCTTGGCCTCGCGGGCACCTCCGCCTCTGCTCGTCCCCCATGCTGGCTGTACGAGCATGGTCGGGTGCCACATGCCCATCCAGACATGTCCCTTAAACATGCTGTGCCCCGCAAGTCCATACTCTGCCTACCCAACCGCGCACGGCGCAGGCGGATCCAAGTCGTACGTGCATGGCTGGGAGAGGGGACGGGGCTCGATGGCATCGCACAGCTGGAGAGTGATTTTCTTCCCGAGTTCTGGCAGCGGGAGATGACGTTGAATGAAGAAACCATGTGCGTAAGTGAGCACTGAACAGATAGCAGTAGATATAGGATATTTAAGGGGCTTTTGCGCCAAGGGTATATAGCCTGCTCTGTGCAGCACACACATAGCCTGCCTCTGAAAGCACACAGGGGTTTCAAGGCTCAGAAGTTGGGTCTGCCTTAGAGGAGTGTGTCGCTACTATATTACTTTTTCCTTACCTTTTTTTTAAAAAAAAAAGTTCCTCTTACAGTCAGGCGTGTTAAATGGAACACATGCTTCTTCCTCTGGGCTTTCAATTTTGCACTGTTCACAGTTGCACAAATGATTCTACAAAGATTTAACACAACGCCATAGGCTGAACTCTGGGCCCGCTTCAGAGGGGTTAGGCTGCTCAGCCAAGCTTCCTTCTTTTTAACTTTGCTCCCGCCTGCCTGGCCCGAGCGAGCTGGGCCGATGGCGGGTGCTGGCAGCCGGCTCCTGGGCTCGCCTTGGAGCAGCTCGCCCTGGAACGCGGCTCTCCAGATCTGCCTCCGCTGCGAGTGTGGGCTGGCAGGTCTCCAGGAAGGGCGTGTGTGTCTTGGCCAAAAGCTGGCGGTTTAAGGAAATGCATGGTTCCTAATCTACCATCAGAAAAAAGCAAATATGCAGGCAATTTAGTGAAGTGAAAGTGCAACCCCCCGGGGAATGCGTAGCTTGTGCTTCTGAGACGTTTTGAGTGTGTAGCCGTGTTCTGTCTTAAATCTTTGGTCACTTGGCTTTTTACTATCTTTAAGCTGGATCAGGAGCATATGTATAGAC